TGCAGGGAGCATGCTTCACTTCCACGGACGTGAACTTCGTCATTTTTTCTTCGACCAAGGTTCAAGTATTCGGAGAGATTATCATTTTTTGGCTTGATATTCTCCCCGTTCCTAGAGGGCTACGAGCTCAGAATATGTGCAAATAACAACTTCCTCGGCTTCCAGATCCTCAGCGAGGCGTAGATCTGTAAGGAAAGCTTCATACTCTGCCTGATTGTTGGAGATGGGGAAAGACAAGGCTAACGAGACCTCGACAAGGATACCTTACTCATTTTCCAAGATGACACCGACCCCGCTCCTTGTCGAGCTGGACGTTTCGTCAATGAAGATTATCCACTTGCGAGCTCCATAATTCGGGGAGGCAGGCAGGGTCATCTTCGCCACGAAGTCGGCCAATAGTTGGGCTTTGAGGTCTTTTCTACTCTCGTACCTGATGTTGAACTCGGATAGCTCCAGTGACCATTTGAGCATCCCGACGGCCATGTCTAGACGGCCCAGCAGTTGTCTCACGGGCTGTTCCATGTGTACCACGATGTTGTGGGTTAGAAAATAGTGCCTCAATCTCCCCGCTGCATTGATGAGGGCCTAGTCTACTTTTTCGATATGTTGATACCTAAGTTTTGGTCCTTGCAATGCCTTGATCATGAAATATATGGGCTTCTGCCCTTCTGGGGTTTCGTGAATGAGAGTTACGTTGACAACTTGGGCTGCAACGGCGAGATAGAGGTAGAAGGTCTCCTTGTTATCTAGTCGGGAGAGGACTGGAGGTTCCAATAACACTTACTTTAGGTGGATGAGGGCTTTGTCGCATTCCTCCGTCCATTTAAAAGCTGTCTCTTTGCGGAGGAGTTTGAAAAAGGGAAGTGCGTGTTGAGCAAATTTTGCCACGAAACAAAACAGTGAGGTAAGCATCCCATTCAGATATTAGATCGATTTTTTCGAACTTGGCTTGGGGAATTTAGAGAAGGCTCTGCATTTGTCAGAGTTGGATTCAATTCCTCATTCTGTCAGGTAGAAATCGAGGAACTTTCTTGCCCGTACCTCGAATGTGCACTTCTCTGGATTGAAGCGCATCTTGTACTTTCTGGCTGGTTTGAAGACCTTCTTTAGATGGAGCGTATGGTCAGATTCCTCATGGGATTTCACGATCATGACGTCCATGTAAACCTCAAGCATGTCCCTGATCTCTCCTCAAAAGACTTTGTTCATCATTCTCTGGTAGACAATGCCAGTGTTTTTCAAGTCGAGGAGCATTACATTATAGTAATAGTTGCCGTATTCGGTCATGAAAGTTATGTACCTTTTATCGCTGTTGGCCATGGGTATTTGGTTGTAGCCCGAATATGCATCCATGAAAAACAAAATTTAAAACCGACAGAATTATCAACTAATTTGTCTATGTTGAGAGGGGACAGACGTCTTTAGGACACAACCTATTAAGATCACTATATTCAACACACATTCTCCATTTTCCATTTGATTTCTTTACAAGTACAACGTTGGACAACCGAGTGGTGTACTTGGCTTCCGAAATGAAATTTGCCCCTAGAAGGTCTTTTACAGCTTGCTCGGCAGCCTCCGTTTTTTTACGGGGACTGCTTATGCCTATGTTGGGCTATTGCCCTTGCAGTGGGGTCGATTGTGAGCTGGTGGCAGGCCACCTCTGGATCCATCCCAGGCATCTCTGAGGGGCTCCACGCGAATATGTCAGCATTCTCTCTGAGGCAGACCTTCAGATGTTTCCTCGCGAGGTCGGGGAGGCCGATCCCGATCTTCACTCCCTTGTGGGGGTCGTCATCAAGGAGGACTAGCTCAAATTCTCCATCTAGGATTGGCCACAAAGGATGGCCAGGTTCGTCGTTGATGATCGATATGGAGGGACTGCTCGAGTTCGACTTATCGCCTTTCCCTTCTTCTTCTGGTCCCGCAAGTCGTCCTTGGAGAAACGGTTATAGAGGTCGATGGAGTCGACGTGGGGCAATGGTTTCGTCTCGTTGGAGCTATAGGGCAGGGCATGCCTGTTGTACGTCTTTGGTCAAATGGTGATGGTGCTCAGCCCTTTTGAGGTTGCCTCGAAGCACCTTCTTGCCGCTTCTATGTCTTCATGCAAGGTGGTGACGAGCCCTTTGGAAGTGTAATACTTCACCTTCAAGTACACTATGGAAGACACAGTTGTCAATTCAGCCAGTATTGGTCATCCGAAGATGCATTAGTAAAGGGATGGGTAGTCAATTACCAGAAATTGGACCTTGATGGATATGGTCATCTCTGCTGCCCCGAAGGTGACAATCAGCTCCACGTATCCCCAGGGCTTCGTGATTGAACCGTTGAAGCCTTGTAGATATGAGCTTATATAGGGCGTCAAATGTGTCTCGTTCAATTGAAGTATGAAGAACAGTTAAGAATACATAATGTCGACCGAACTTCCATGGTCGACCAGAATTCGCCGAACATCGAAGTTGGCCATCTCTGCCCTTATGAGTAGGAGAATAATGGAGTTGGGGGCTCCAACGAGAAGTTCCTCGATATAGAAGGTGATGGGAATTAAATCTCCCTGAACCTTGTCGAGGGTAGAACTTCGGCTCAAGCATGTGTTGATGAGGTGCTCGAACTTCCTCTTTACCGACTCCACAGTCACCTTGTTGAATCCTCCTCCCGATATGACCATGGAAAAGGGGAATGCTTCTCAGGGGCTATGTGCAGCAAAGTAAATAGGAACGTTGAGCCCATCGGGGACTTAGAAATCTTCAGGTCGTGAGATGCTCATGGCGACCTGAAGGCTGACGTCGTCCGCGAATGGTACTTCTTATTCAACCTTCTTTGACTCCTGGGCGTCTTGTCGAGAAGTGTCTTTCCTCTTCGCAAACTGCTTCAGGTGCCCGTCCCTGATCAAGATCTCAATTTCATCCTTGAGATGGATGCAGTTGTCAGTCGTGTGCCCATGAATCTTGTGGAACTGACAATATTTTGTTTTATCCGTGTTTGGCTTCGCAGGTATCTGCTTCGGGAAACAAACCCCTTCCTTCTAAAACTCTGAATTCGCGCACTCGGAGAGAATATTCTCACAGGATGTTGTCAGCAGTGTGTACTCATGGAAATGGCCAGATGGCCCTTTGTGATTTCAGGAATCCCGAGGGCGGTCATCCCTTCTTTTTTCGGCTCCCCGACAAGATGATGATGAGTCATTGTGCTTTGAGGACCTAGCATTCTCCTAATGCCTTGAGTCCCAGGCGGTGTTTGCTGCTTCCCTTTCTTCATACTAGATATATTCCTGAGCCTTGAGGAGGAGGGCGTCCAGTGTTGTTGGGGTTTCGATGCCATCCGCCTTGACAAAGTCACTGCAGGAACAGACCCGCGCTCTAGCAAATATTTTTTCATGTCGTTAGTCGTGGGGACCTAAACGAGTTCTTTATTGAATCTTTCGATGTATGCTCGAAGAGATTCGTCTCTTCCCTGAATGATAGCCTCGAGGGAGGCTTCTATCTTCAGTGATGATGAGAGGCTATAAAATGTCTCGAGAACGTCTTCCCCAACTACCTCCACGAGGTGATGGATTCATAGGGGAGGATCTTGTACCAAGACATTGCTCCCTTCGTTAGTGTTTTCAGGAATAACTTGCATTTGATGACGCCTCGGATGCCTCGATAGTCGAGTAGGGCATCGATGTTCTCAATATGCTCGTCAGGATCAGTTGTGCCATCATATATGCCGAGGCGTATTGGTTTCTACATCCCCGTGGGTAACCGAGTGGCCATGATCTCCTGGGATAATGAGCCTCAAGGTTCTTCATCGTCACTATAGCTGCTCGACCGCGAACGTGAGCAGACGTCTCTGCTAGGGTGAGGACCACGATCTCGACAGGGAGAAGGAGTTTGCGACTGACCCTTAGGTTTAGGCGGAGGTGAACGTTGGCTCTCTGTCTGCATGTATCTTCTTGTTCTCTTGGCCCTGGGGAGTGCTACCTCCGGGGAGGAGTATGGTCGTGTTTTCCTATTGGCAGGGGTTCCGGCTTCGGTGGCATCTGGCGATTCCTTCTGCATCAAGGAGAAGAGCTTCAGGACCTCTGGTGCTCGCGCCTTGATAGAGGAGACCTTGAACGACATATTTATTCCAATGCTCCAATTCTTGCTTTTTGTTGAAGGATCAAAAGGTTCATCTTGTTGAGAGCTTCGACAAGAACTGCCATGGTCGGGTCGTCGTTGGGCGAAATTGGGGCAGACCGATGTTCCTCTGAGTGTTGGATCTCTATGTTGTTGTCGTGATCCGAGGAGGGAGATGCGATGACTCCATCCTTCTGCTGAGGAAAATTGTCTCCAAGAAAGGGGTTCACCCCGTCGTTGTCTGTCTTGCTGACGGGGGGGAATGAAGGTGTTGCAAGCATCATGGACGTTATCACGGCTGGAAATGATTGGAATCTTGAAAAATGATTTGATCTTTGGTTTCCAGGGGAAGAAAGATGGGGAAAACAAAAATTCCCACAGATGGCGACATTGATCTTAATGGTTGATCAGAACCTGAAGTGGGCCAGAGACTTCATCTACGCTGTTGGAATCAAGGAGGAAGGGGTATACCTGTAAGGCATTTCGATGCTAAATTAAGAATCGGGAGATGAGAAGGCAAGTACAAAGCAAGTGTTTCTTAGGATGATTATTGGATATCTGACCCTCTTAAAGGAGATGGTTTTTATAAGGCCCCCAACGCTTGACCATTGGTTCTTATTTTTGGGCTGAGATAATCGTTCCCCAAAAATAGGTAACTGCCAGAAACTAGCTGTTGAGACGGGCATTAAGTAAAAGCAGGATTCCCTCTTACACAATAAAGTAAAAGCAGAATTCCCTCTTATTTGCTTTTTCCAAGATAAGATTCTTATCTTTTTATTTGCTAACTTTCAAAATAACATTCCTTCTTATCTTTGCATGCATTTGCCTTTAGGAAATTATTGCATTGTTCCTAGACAAGATAAGATTCTCTCTTATCTTTTCTCTTTGTCTTGAGATTCTTTATCTCTTTGCTTTGTCTTTTGCTTTCTGAGTCATGGATTGAATCACCGCATCCCAGAAATCTTCAGGAGTGGGGTCATCCGTTTGGGCTTCTCCTGATAAACAATCAAAGTTGTTGGAATCAATTGATCTTATAGAAGAGCTAGTCTTCATAGATGAATTCTCATCTTTTGATGTTTTAGTTGGAAAAGTGGAGAAGAATTGGTTCTTCATATGATCCAGAGTCCTAACCATAATTTCTTCTTCTGATTCATTTGGATATTTTTTCTGAAAGAAGTTCTTTAAATTTCCCATAGACATTTTTTGGGAGCCTTGATCTTTGACTTTATTATTTTGGTCTTCAGCAATAGCTGCTTGAATCAGAATAATTTTATTCTGGATTTCTTCAGAACTCATCTTGTTCCACCATTTATAGAAGAAATTTCTTTCTAAAATGGGTATGTTAAATTTATTTTGAGATATGGTGATAGACCATCTCCATATCCATGGGATCTGAAATTTGGTAAAGAACCAAAATGGACATTGTCCTTTGATTAAATTATCAGATAAAATATTTATAATAAGTGGAGTATTATCACACCAGGGATTGTATAAATCAAGTATTGTTTGGGTAATATTTCCAAAGACGGACCAAATTTAGTCTATCATTCGTAAAACCAATTTGGTATGGGTTTATTAATCATTTCTGGATTAATATAGAAAAACCAAGAATATTTGTTCTTAGGATTTTGGTAATAAAAAGCTTGAGTGAAAGCTTGGACATAGTCCCAGTAATTGAAGTAGATATACTTTCCTTCAACAATCCTTATTGCCTTTTCACCATTTGGGTTAAGACCCCATTCTCTTGGTAACAAGATTTTATTAATATGGCATTTACTGAAGTTTATAAAACTTTCAAGATTATTGTTCTGGTAGTGGTGAGTAATTGTTACCGATTTGGTAACAGTCAAAAGAATCTCTAGGTGAGGCCTAGATTTTCCATGAAGACCTGGATATCCTCTTGATTCGAGGTATCTGGTTTTGATAGACCATCCATCATTTGGATTTATCTTAATATCTTCTTCATCAATATACATGATTTTTTCAGTTACTGGATTTTCAAAATAATCCATTTGTTCTTTAGATGGGTTATTAACCGTAATTTCCTTGTAGGATGTATTTTTATTAGAAAAGGGGGAATCTATATCTTCCTTTTTTGATGAAGATGCAGGTAATTGCTGCATTTTTCTTCCTTTGTAAACTGTAGTCCAATCCCCTATTAGAGGAATGTTTGATTCTGGTTGGGGTAATATATTGTTACTCCCTCTTCCACCACGACTATAACCGTGGCCTCTCCCCCTATATGGGGTCATCATTCTTTCCCTGCAAAAACTCACGAGTTAAGTAGTCAGCAAGTGAATTATTCTCACCTTTAATGTGTTGAATGTCAAATTCAAACATAGATAATTGAGATTGTAAGCTAGCAAAGATTTGCTTAGAAACAAGATTTTTAACATCTTTTTCGATAATTGATTTAGCTAAGCTGCAATCAATTTTTAATAAGAATTTCTTATTAAGAAGATCATCTTGAAATTTTGAAATACATTTTTATAATAGAAAGCATTTCTTTCTTGATAGTAGAATATTTAGATTGTGTAGGATTCCATTTTCTAGAAGTAAATCTGACCAGAACTTCTTTTGATGTTTCAGGTATAACCTGTTTAAGGATTCCTCCATAGCCTAAGTCTGAAGCATCAGTTTCAACAATTTTAAAATACTTAGGGTTAGCAAGAGATAAACAAGGCAAATATTTAACCTTATTTTTAATTCTTTGGACTGCCTGAGAATGTTCATTAGTCCAAGGGCCTGGATTTTTTCCAAGCCTAGTATGTAATATGGCAGTATCTTTAGCAAGATTTTTATAATAATCTGCTATGTAATTAAGACTACCAAGAAATCTTTGTAATTGTTTCTTATCTGTAATAATATTGGGGAATTTTGAAGCAAATTCAATACTTCTTTGTATAAGAATTATTGTTCCTTGGTCAATTTCATGACCTAAAAATCTAACTTTTGTTTGAAAAAGTTTCATTTTAGGAGCAGATATGACTAATGCATTATGTTTAATTAATCCTTTAAATGTTTAACATGTTGATCTATACTTTTAGAAAAAACTAAGACATCATCAATATAGACAATTATAAATTCTGTATAAGAATCAAAAATATCATTCATAATATTTTGAAATTCAGAAGGGGCATTTTTAAGCCCAAAAGGAATGACATTCCATTCATAATGTCCAAAAGGCACAGTAAACGCTGTTTTATACTTATCAAATTCATTAATCTGAATTTGCCAATAGCCAGATTTCTTATCAAACTTAGAGAAGATTAAAGCATTGTTTAATCTATCTAAAAGGTCTTTTTTATTAGGAATAGAATATCTAATCCATCTTAACACCTTATTAAGGGGTTTGTAATTAATAACAAGTTTAGGGACCCCGCGTTCTTTTTCAGCAGCATTATTGACATAAAAAGCTGCACAACTCCAAGGAGATTTGAATTTTCTTATCAATTTTTTCTCTAAAAGAGATTGTATCTCTTTTTTGCATAACTCCAAATACTCATGGTTCATTTGAGCAGGCCTAGCTTTGGTGGGAATCTGACTTTCATTAAAGTCATCAAGATAAGGTAAAGAAATAATATGTTTCTTTCTATCCCAAAAAGTATTTGGCAAATCATTGCACACTTCATTTTTGAATTGGTTCTCAATTAATTTGATTTGTTCTCTTATCTCATTTTTATTAAGTTGTTCATTAATATTTAATAAACTAACTTCCTCTTTAAGAAAATCTAATTGTTTTTCTTTATTTAAGAGAATACTTTTAACTTCATTAAGCATTTTAATATGAGGATCAGTAATAAATTCAAAAGTGACAGTTTTACCATTAATCATGGTAGTAATGCCTTTAGTGTCAACATTAATTAAAGGCATAATGCTATTTAAAAAAAGAAGTTCCAAGAATAACTCTATGAGTCATGTTTTTAACTAAGATGAAATGGATAGGTAAACAAATATCTTGATTACAAACATATGTATTAGGTAATTTATAATTAACCGTTAATTTGTCACCACTAGCCTGAGCAAGGGTTTGAGTGATTTTTGTATAATACTTGGTAGGAACAATTCCTTCCTGTAGACAATTAAGGTCAACGCCGTTATCAATAAGGGCGACTTTATTTTCTAAAATAAATGTTCTGTTAATAACTAAAGTTATTTTAACAAACCATTTTTGAGAAATTACTCTATCAATAAGAGTGAGAAATCTATCATTAGTAGAAGGACGGCTAGTAGAGGATATTTCTTCAACTTTAAGGTTACCTGTTTCAAGCAAGGAGACCCTTTGAGATAATTTTTGATTATCTTTCTTTATCTGAGTAATTTCAGATTTCAAAAGATTAATTTCTCTGTTTAAATCAGTAACGGAAACAGGAGTTTCACGGATATTGGATTGTTGAAATTTGGATAAAACCTCACTTAATTGGTAGTGTGCTTCACTAATAATATGAGATTCTTTTTTAGAATTTTATTTAATTAAAACTTCAAGCATTTTTCTTTTAAGGTTATTATCAAAAATAGACTCAATAGCCTTTATGGCTTCATCTTGTTCTGTAGTAAGAACATTAAGACCATTCATATCAACAATAGACTTCCAGTAATCAATTTGATTACATTGAAAATTATTATTGTCCGAATTATCAGAGGAATAATCTGATGATGATTCATAGATCATGTCAATATCTTCATTAGAAGAATTAGTTTCTGAGTCAGACTTGAGTAAACAAACTTTCTCAAATTGAGAGCGTAATTGTTCATCCTCGATCTCATTGAGAGCTTTCTTAGTCCAACATTGGTTTGCATAGTGACCAGCTTTACCACATTTGTGGCAAGGTACATCAAGCATTTTAGCTTTTCTTTTGCCTTTATGAATAAAGGTCTTTTCTTTTGGTCTACTTTTATTAAAGTGACTTCTTTTCTTATTCTTCTTATAAGAATTTTATAATTATCCTTATTTTTATGAGGTTTATTCCTAAAAAATCTCCCCTTTTTCTTTTTATTCTCAGAGGATCTACCAAGATCGAAGGCAAACTGATCGCAAAAATCATCCATTTGGTGTTTTTCAGAAAGTTTTTGTTTCTTAACCTGATTTTTATGCTTAATATCATTACATAAAGTTAATTCTTCATTAACACAAGTGCTTATAATTTGACCATAGGTAAGATCAGGATAGTTAATATTTATCCCATCATTTTTACTTCTTAAAGAATGTCTAACGTTTTCAGAAAAGAAATGGGGTAAACCATCAATAAATTTGGCGTTCCAATGGATAGAATTTGGGTTTTTTAATTGATAAATTCTAGACAAAAATGTGTCTTTGTACCATCTAAAATGTGTAAGGGAAGGACATCTTAGATTTTGGAGTAGAGTTTGAATTTTTTCTCCAATAGGGATATTGGTTCCAACAAAATGCTGAAGGATAGAGAGACACAGTGTATAAATTGCATCTTCTTCGCCTGTGGTGGCAACACCACTTGCTCCGATAACAGGAGCTTCGGACTTAATCATTTTCTTATGGTCAATAATATCCCTTTTTTGACTATCGGTGAGATAATGATCCCACAAGCCTCTTAATTGACCAACAAATCCAGTGGATATGAAGGTGGCAATATCTCTGTCGGAATTTCCGTTTTGTTTACAAACAGTGGAATACATAATCATTTTATGTATTGTATCAAGGATTTGTTTGTCATTTAACCCATCAATGTTCCATTCATAAATGGCTTTTCCAGAATACAAATTTTGGAAGGGTTTAGGTTCTTCAAAAAGTAAATCTTGAGGAGAGGGGCGCTTATAATAGTATTTCTCTAAAGGTTTAGAGGTATAAACATGGTTTATCTCATTAATATTTTGATTACCTGTGTCTAAGTCAGCAAACATATTTGCTAAATCATTAATTTCTTCTTCATTAGAAGAGTCTTGATTAGACATCACCGTTAAATGTAAATCTTTAAGCTTTTTCTCAAGAATACGGACAAACTCGTCACCGTTAGTTTCCATTTTAAATCCTTCTATAGGAATAGGAGATTGACTTATAGGAACATCTGGAATATTAGATGTAGAAGCTTGTTCTTGAGGTTTAGGCTTATTAATAAGGTCAATGTTAATCTTTTGACGAGCTATTTGCTTGTCTAAAAGGTCCTTTATGGATAAGAGTTCCTTTTCTATAGAAATAAATTATTCTCCTAGGCAAACAAGGTAGGCATTAGTATAATTATTGGATTTGATTATGGAATTTAACTCTTTAAGAGTCATCTGATTTTGTTCAACCCTTTGAAGGGTAAGATAAGGTGTAGCCTCTGTATGAGGACCCAAACTTATTGTTTGCTCGGGGGGAAAAGGAGATTACATTCTTTCTCCTTTGACATTTTCCCAAGGTTTTTGTAGAACTAATAATTCGTTTTGTTTTATAAAAACCAACTCTTCTTTTTGTTTACTTATAAAATAACTGATGAACCATTTGACAAAGGGAATGAAATCTTGGTTCATAGACATCTGAGTATAGTACTCATCTTTAAAACTTGCTAATACAGGGGCAGAAAAAGTTTTAAAAAACCATTTTCTAAATTGAGTGTATCTTTCATGCTGAAACTCGTCATTGACAAGGTTTCTTAGATTACTACTGGGGAATAATCTAACACTATAACGGGAAGTCCATGTCTGAGGGAGTAGGCGATTCTACTCTAAGAGGATTTGGTTTTTGATATATTCCATGGGGAATTTTATTTTCGCTAAGTCTTATATTTTCGACTACCTCTATTTCTTCTCTTAATTGAGAAGTAGAAGATCTAGGTAATTGACTAGGAGTAGAGTAAAACTCATTTATAGAATTCACCGAATGTCTTCCAGACATAGATCTAGGTATTCTAATAATTCTTTTAGAGTTAAAGTTTATTTCCAAATCTCCTTCACTAGACTGGAGTATTTGATCAACATCCTTATTAAGGATAGGCTTAGGTTCTATGGCCTGAGGAAGGTTCCAGGTTTCAGGAAAATTAATTTCATCCCATTTTAGCAACCTATTAGTTACAACACTAGATGTTAGCAAATTAGTTTGATCTAAAGTAGTAGTTCCTAGAAACGATATTTGTTTAGCTTTAGGGTTTAAAGTGGTAAGGACTTTGTAATAAACCCTATAACATATAGCTATTATTTCACTACCCTGTTTAAAATTGTAACCATTGGTATGAATAGTTAATTGAAGGGCATCTAATAAACTTTTATCAGTCATGGATAAGCTTATATTGGGAGAGACATCAAAATAAACTGGTCCATGACACAGACTTGTCTCAATTAAAGCAGCTAAATATTATTTAAAATCTTTACATCTCCCATCTCTAATATATCCCAGGATGCTAGTATTTAATCCTAGCAAAGTCAAAGGTTTAACAGCAACTTGTATTAAACCAACATGGATATAATTATAATTTTTAAAAGGAAGTAAATCCTTTTTTGTTAAAAGTTTAATTGTCTGAGTACTTTCAAAAATTTGAATAGTTTGTTCTAAGCTTTTTACAACAAAGCAAGATAATAAATCTATTTTACCAAATTTATAAATTTGATTTGAAGGTACTGATGAAATTGTCCATTTATTAAGTTTATCCAAATTTTTTAGATATTCCATAAGTTCTTCATGTTTAATCAAATTATTTTGATGATTATCATCATCAGAATCTATAAATATGGCAGGCTAAAGATGTTGTGGATGATTAACTACCTTAGGTAAAACTAAGTAGGTAAATCTAACTCATAATCTTAGTACAAATATATCTAGGCAACAACTGATAAGTCATCTTTGCAAACAAAAACATTTAACTATCAACCTTAAGGGATAAAAGAATGTCTCCTAAATCAAAGATGTCCAGTAAAAAAATTCTTTTCAAAATCATCTTAACAGTCCCTTCATTGGGAAAAAACATCTTTAGTTTTGAATAAACCCTTATTACTTATTGCCATTGATATAAATATACTAATTTTAAGAGAAGAACCTACCTACTTAGTTTTGTCTAAGTTATCTAACCTTCCACAACAAAAAATTTAGCTACTAATTATCATTAACAAATAGTTGGATTAAGAAAAATACATTAGTTTTTTTACCAAGCGATGATACCAATAATATATATATATATATATATATATATATATATATATATATATATATATATATATATATATATATATATATATATATATATATATATATATATATATATATATATATATATATATATATATATATATATATATATATATATATATATATATATATATATATATATATATATATATATATATATATATATATATATATATATATATATATATATATATATATATATATATATATATATATATATATATATATATATATATATATATATATATATATATATATCCAAAAGATGATACCTAAATAAACCTTAAATAAAGAAAGAAAACACACTAAAATCTTATTTTATTTAAAAAGTATTTATATAACGACGAAATTTCTATTTCTACATATTACTATTATCTTTGTGACGTTATTATGACGACACTTTATTCTCTGTACCGCAAATAAATATAAATATAGATAATAATAAATAATAATAAAGAAATGTCACAACGTTCATCTTACGCTAACATTCAATTCAATACTTTCCGATTTTTTCTAAAATCTCTCATTTTCTTCTTCTTCAACCCTCATTCTCAATCATTCGTTCTTCTACCACGCTTTCGTCTCAGGTTAGTTTTTTCATCTTCTTTTTTCTTCAATTCTCTTTATTGTTCTCACGATCTATTGCTTATACAACCTTTATTCCGTTTTTTCTTTGAAGTTTCGATTATCATGGCTTCGAAACGTATCTTGAAGGAGCTCAAGGATTTGCAGAAGGATCCTCCAACGTCATGCAGTGCAGGTTTTCTTCTTGATCCATTTCTCTTTCATTCTTTTTTCCAATTTCTGTTAAATTTCAATGTAAAGCATAGCTATAGCTAAGATTATGATGAATTTTATTCGAATTTGTTTAATTAATTTATAATCATGTTTGTTACTCCATGCTTTTTCATCTGTTAGGGTTCTCTTTGCTAATTAGTTTTGACAATGATATAATTATCTGTTGTTTTTTATATTTGGTGATTTTGAAAGGTGTAATTAGTATTGTGATATTTCTGTTTCTTCTGAAAATATAATTGATAATAATTTTAGAAGATACTGTTGTTGTTGTTGTTTATATCAGGTCCTGTGGCTGAGGACATGTTTCACTGGCAAGCCACGATCATGGGACCGTCTGACAGTCCGTATACAGGCGGTGTTTTCCTGGTTTCGATACATTTTCCACCTGACTATCCTTTCAAGCCACCAAAGGTACTCTACCCTATTTCATCGCTTACGCTAATCACTTGTATCGTCATGTTTTTGTGTTGCGATTATGTTGAGTGTTTCTTTTTGAAGTTATGTCTATGGAGAATTGGAGATTAAACTGATTTCTAATGCATTTACTTGGTTTCAATGATAATTGTGATTGTGAACTTGGTGTTCGTTCTATACAATTGGTTTCAATAATGATTGTGAGTGTGAACTTAGTGTTTGTTCTCCTTCATTCTTGTACAGTTGTGGAAATTTTTTTAAGCAACATTCTTGATAATCATTGTACACATACTGCTCTAATTGTTTCAAGGTTGGCTGGTTTTGAATCAGTATTGTACAAATGCTAATAGGTTGACTACCCTTGACCGTGTGCGGGGTTTCCTTGTAAATACTATCAACTATGAATATTCTTGTATATAATGGAGGAGACGAAAAATACACAATATTTTTTAAAGTTGAACCCTTGAATTGAAGGGAGAGAATACCTTTGGTGGGTGAAAATGTAAATCCTGAGAGGCCTCAAGAGTTTAGAATGTTCGAATAGCTTCTTTTGAAACTTTGAAGGATGCCTCATTCACACTTCTATTTTTTTCCCTTCATATTTCATGCTACATTAGTACTTCAGAATGCAATACAACATTCTTTTTCCTATTTGGATCAAACAACATGATTGTGTTTTTGTCAAGAACCAATTCTTTGTAAAGGTTTTTAAGATATAGGCCCTTCGTAATTATTTCACTTGGATTTTTCTTGTCCTTTTAATGCTTCGAATTATTGTTCTTATTTTCATTTTATTGTATGACCAAACCATCTTTGGCAAGATTCTATCGTTGTTTACTCAATAGATACTACTACAATTTTGATCTTTGTATGTCCACACATCTACCACTTCAAAATCTCTGCAACACTTAGATTTTGCTTGTATTTACGCCATATTGCCTTGCATTCAGTACCATAGAATAATTTTTCTTTCTTTTGACATTGGAGACACCTTTTGATCACAAATAACACTTAAAGCTGTTTTACACTTCATCCACCTAGCTTGAATCTCATCAACACATCTCCCTCCATCTAAAAATAGCATCTAAAACTTTTTTCTAGGACAGTTCACAATTTCTAAATGGCAAAATATTGATGTTTGACAATCGACATTGTATAATGTTGTACAAGAGGAATTGCGTTTTCCATGTAGCTTCTGTCAATCTAGCTGTAGGTATTTTCTTATTGTTGCGCAGTTTGGTGTGAAGAAAACATCACAAGTGTGTTGTGATTTAGACTGTGGTGCATCACAAGTGTTTTGTGATTTAGACCATGGTGCTAGTAAATCATTTGTATAATCTAGCTGTGGGTATTTTCTAATTGTTGCCTTGCAATTCGATGTGAAGAAAACGTCATAAGTGTTTTGTGATTTGGCCTGTGGTGCAAGTAAATCATTTGTAAACATGATTATTGGGGAAGTCCCCTCAAGGCATCATTCACATATTAAGAGTAGAGCATTTGTGTCTTTGAGTGCTCTATGTTTCATTCTTTCTCTGTACTGTAGGATAGAAAGATAATGTGTCTAGATTTCTTCCTTTTTCTGGTTGGTCGAAAATATTAGGATCTCTCAGTTCATTTAAGGAGAAGTTGTCCATTAATTGAGTCTTACAACTAATACTCTTGAATTGCAGTTTCTTCTTTCCAAAGTTTTTTTTATCTTGATTTGACATGTAAGCTGGCTACTGTACACTTGCACTGCTGAATTTTCATGTAACGTCGCATGTTTTCTAGTCTTTCTTAAGCATTAGAAATAAGATTTCTTTCTAGTCTTCTCATCTTTGTTTATTCAATAACACGAGGTTCTTTTTGTTAAAAAGTTGATAGGCAACATTTTTGGAGTCTTCATGTATGAATTTGCATGAATATATTGTGTTCAACTACAACTCAGTAATCTTGGCTCGCTGTGCTTTTTGAATTTTTTTGGTTGCAAGAAGAAAATAGGATGAAAATTTTGGAGAAGAGAGAGTAAGAAATAGGTGTATTTTGTATGTGTTTGGATGCAGAGAAAATAGAGAAAATTTTGAACCTTCTCTATGCTTCTTTTGGTAGGACAGAAAAATAGAAAGAGGGAAGAGAGCATTGTTGGATATCAGAATTAAAAAAAAGAAATACAAAATTTATGATCATACTCTTTTATTTGTCTGAAGTGCTTGAGGAAACTCTATAGGAAGCAAAATGCAATATAAAAAAATGTAGAGCAAGTGTTTGGAAATATTGAAGAAAGAATGATGTATCTATCACTGCAAAGTTGATAGATGAAGGGAATGGTTCCTTACAATTTCCTAACAAAGTTATAAAGACCTTGTTCTGTTCACAACTTTCTATCTGCTGCTGCTTAACCGTCCACCTTTTATAACTAGCAATCTTGTCTAATTATCATAACTACCATTTTTTCATTTCAATGAGTACTATGATCTGTTTCGAGGAGCATATTTCGTCACTGTTGCCTTCTCAATTTGAGATTCCATTCTTGTTAAACCAGTGTTCTTGCATGCATCTATACTTGGTCACATAGCTTGATTAGTTAAAAAGATGTTGGAAACAAAGTTAAATTAGTGGGTAGGAAAACTTGGTTGGATGTAAATGAATGAATTTTGCTAATCCAGTTTGTTCAATAGCCCGCTTTTGCTGATCAAGTTTAGAACTAATAGAATGTCATATTGTAGAAAATAATATTTGTTGTTGTATACTATGACTAAAGGTGCTCCTTTTATAGGAGAAAATACAATTAATCAACTCCTTACATGACCAAGGTTTTTTGTGATGAGTGGTTGATCCGTCCGTGGATTATTACTTTCTAAGACCAAGTTTAGAACTAAAAGAATATCTTATCTTAATACTTTATAGGACCAATTTAGAACTAATCAAATTAGATGTTTATTGACTGCAGGTTGCTTTTAGGACCAAGGTATTCCACCCAAACATCAACAGCAACGGTAGCATATGTCTCGACATTCTCAAAGAACAGTGGAGTCCAGCGCTAACCATTTCCAAGGTTTGAATATTACTTCGCTTGGTTTATCTTGCCACTTACCAGACATAGATCATGTCTGCCATGAGACAAATTTCAAGTGATGGCATAGTATATTTTAAGTTGGGTTGCGACTGCGGACTATTAGCCGCGGTTATATTGCACTATAGTATAGTGTAGTATATTTTGGTAACTTGAACGATATGATGATACATTATGTACCCTGCTGATTAGTCTCATTTCTAATTTAGGTCCTTTTGTCAATTTGCTCATTGTTGACGGACCCCAACCCTGACGATCCACTTGTGCCTGAAATTGCGCACATGTACAAGACGGACAGGGCCAAGTATGAGGCCACAGCCCGCAGCTGGACACAGAAGTATGCCATGGGATGATCATGCATGTCTGAGCTGTTCAATTAAAACAGCAATGTCATAATTAATGTAAAAGAGCAACAGATATTTTGAATGAATTTTAATGCTTTATTGTTTAGTGGAACTTAAAGCTGGCAAAGGATCCCAGTTATAATTTGTGAATATTGCATTGTAAGACTCCTGTGATTGAGGAAACTGTAATGTTATGCAATCTATCTTCTTGTTGGTACTCCAAATTAGTGACAAAGATACAAGGGTCACAAATTAAGCAGTGACTTCTTACATCGGTGAACAGATTGGGATTCTGTTCTAGATTGTTACATGAAAGATCAGATCACTTATATCCTGATATTAATTTTAAAGTCGATTTCGCAAGGTTAGACAATATTTGATCTTGATCCAAATAAAGAAACATAGACCAGATACATTAAAATACATATCAGTAAAACATACTTAATCTATTTGGTCTATTCATTATATCTAAAAAGTGAATAAATAAATCAAATATAACAAGTATATGGGGAGTACTATGATTATGTTTTTGTGACTGAACATATAGTTGTTTTTCTTGGTAATTGCTTAACAAATAGTTATTTTTCTTGGTAATTGCTTGACATTTAGTTATATAGTAGTAATTATGCTTAATATGCGTAATGCTTCTATTGGATGTTGTAATTTTGGAGGTAGTGGAATTGATCCCCAATTATACCTTTTAAACCTTATTTTATGATGTAGACATTGCAACTACAAGCAAAACATATTAGGAGGATCAGAATTACTGTCCTTTTAAGAATGTGAAGTGGGGACATTGGCCATGGTTCTTGTGTCCATATGAAAAAATGAATGCAATGTTTTTGAACATTTTCGATTATAATTGGTTTCAAGTTTCTACTTTCTTTTTTCCAATGAGAGAAAATGGTCAAATAAAACAGTTAACAGAAGTGTGTTTAGGTTGATACGGTAAGTTTTGATGTAAGCGTTCACAGTACACTGGCTCCTTGGAGCCTGTAGAGTTCGAGACTCAATTTGTCAACTTTTCTTTATAATTTTTTTATTAAGACAAGTTTATATTAATGAGACATATATTGTTAATTAATTGTGTTTTAGGGCCGAATCATGCATGAAATTAGGAGAATCTTTATACAGTTGAAAGGTTGAGTTGACTTATTAATTTAATTTATATGTATGCTATAGTACAATCCTATCCATTAAAAAGGATGCTGGAAAGCACTAATAATGCAGCAGGAGTGAGACACGTTTTTGGTGAGGTGATAGCAACTTAGCAAGTTGCTAGAAATTAAGTGAGTGGTTAATACTTAATACAAAACACAAGAGAGAATTAGAGGTAAATTAACAACTAAAAAAATAATTTAAAAAAGAAAAGAAAGAGTAATCAAAAGTCGATGTCACTTGGTTGACAAGCAAAAATAAGTGAAGAGATGGGTCACTAGTGTGCAACGTTTTGCCCCTTGTAGCAGCACACATAACACAACACGTGGTTGACCATCTTGCATGCTTGTTTTGCCTTTGCTTGTTCCTCAAGGCAAAACCTAAACAAAATCTTTACTATTAGATAGATCCATTGTATACTAATGAGTCTCTGATGTAACACTTCGTTTTATTTTTCTTTGTTTAAATTAATTGTCATTACTAGAATTCAAAATAACATTTATTTTCTCATAGACCTTTTGTCATGTCTAGAGTTTAAATGTCATTTTTATATTAATTTTTTTTGCATTAAAATTTATATAGAATCTTATATTCTTTAAGTGTAGCACAGTGTGTAACGCACTCTCTTGCTTAATACTAAAAGAATTTGTTTTATATGGCTGAAAATGTTAGTTTTGAGTGAGGTATATATGCAGGCAGGCATAGTCTGAGATAGCAGAAAAGAGTGTCGTGTCGTTGATTACAGGATTTACAGCTATACATGCAGTGTCTCGTACTAGTACAACTGTGGGATTGGACTATTCAATTCACTAACAGTGTCGTTAGTTATATTAGTCGCTGTGAATTCCTTTCGTTTCGTACTAGCACCATTTCTCTCTCTTTACAGTTTTTGGTTACTGGACCACAAGAGTACTAGTACAGTGATAATCCTTGAAGGCCACGCCAAATTGCGAGTTCTCAAACGCTGCATGAACTGCCAATTCTACACATTAGCCACGCTTCTTTTCACTTTATCAATTAGTACCATGTTTTCCGTCGCATTAGCTAGCTTCACCAACGTGTAAAGTTGCAACCATTATCTGCTATTACTCACTCATCACTAAGCTGTCCTTTAACAAATTTTTTCTAATAATTTGATAATCAAAGTTAATTCTTTAATACTCTTTGATTTTAATGTGAGATTATTTTTTTTAAACTTATACTGATATTAATATGTTTTCCAAAAAAAGTATACTATCTAATTTACGATTAGAAAAATATAAATTTATTTTTTCTTTTATTATTTTAATAAATATTATAATTATATTATTTTTCTTAATGTTTTTTTGTTCTCATTATAAACTTACTACCATGTTTACTAAATTTTCACTACTACTGAAAATTTCTTTTACATCGGTTGGAAAAATATATCATCATGTTTGATTAACCGTTGTGAGATAAGAGATGATTATATGCATAGTGTTTTCTATCATGAGTGTTTGATCATTGTGATAAACTAGGTAGTGCATTACCTATATAACTGCTATATTAAAAAATTATTGTGATATATAGGTTATGAGTTTGAAGTCCAGCAACATCAATTTAATTAAAGTGTGAATAAATTTAACATTTTACTCTGGTTATATATCTCAACCATGGTGATATATAAAAATAAAAATAAAAGTAGAAGAACCTAAACAAAGAAAAATGGAAGAAAGTGTATCAATAATATGAAAGAAAACTTATGAGGAAGAAAAAGAATGATGATAAAGTGTATGAACTTGAATACCTTTTAGAATGAGGAATCTTATGAGGATGAGTTCACTACATGTGGAAGAGAGAGATATTAGGGTTTTATTTTGAGAGTGACGACTATTCTGTGTGAAAGCTTGATAACTTCGCTTATATATGTCTGTGTAAAACTTATCAGCACGACTGTTAACAAAACTCGTAATAAAATGTAAATACTATTCACAATGGGTTCTTGTAATAACCATGATAATATGTATTTTAATATTAATATATTTCAATCAAATATAACAAATAAAATGTCTTTCACAACGGTTGTTATAAAGAACCGTGATGAAATGTCTTTCAATAAAAAAAATTCAAACGGTTGTTATCAACCTTTTAGTATCTTAACACATACACAACCAAAACATGAGAAGAACAACTAGCATTAAATATGTTATTGTACATAAGTTCAATGAGGCTATAGAGCCTTTATAAACAGAAATAAAATATGACCAGATACAAGGGTCATCAAACTTAAGTAAAAACTTATATTTTCAGGATCATGAACTCCCTTTATCAATGAAGCCTTCAGACTTCATGCTCAATTGAATCCAATAAGGTATCTCAGTCTTCATCTAACTCGGAGTCACTTGATTTCATTAGCTCTTCAATAACAAATTCTATCTTTCTTATCTTCTCAAGATTCAAATTGGTGATCATTATCTTTTCAGTGTCAATTTTTCTATTAGAAGTTTCAACAATGGTGATGTTATCCATAACATCTCCTGCTTCCTTGGCCGTATTTAACCCTAATCATATCACCAACATCCTTAGGAACCTTAATTTCTTTGATATATACGCTCCCACTCGATTGGGTAGATAAATCTTCAGAATTTTTATTCACGTTGAGAGAAAAAAGCTTATGAGGACGAGTTTTTTGCATGTGTGTGTGTGTGTGCGCGCGTGAGAGAGAGAGAGATGTTAGGATTTTGTTTTGATAGTGATGACTATTATGTGTGAAAGCTTGACAACTTCACTTATATATATGTGTGTAAAACTTATCACCACAACTATTAACAAACTACATAATAAAATGTAAGTAGTATTTTGAAATATTTATTAGACTATAAGGACAAATCCTTTTTGTAACGAAAAATATAAAAAAAATGTTGGTGGTGAGAATCGAAGCAAGTAACTTTTCATTTATCACAACGGTTGTTATTAAGGACCGCGATGAAATGTATTTCAATAAAATAATAAAAAAATCAAGCGAGCGAGAATGAGATATTACTATAATTTTTTAAACGACTGTTGTCAGATGGTGTTACCAAAGGTATATTTTGTTGTAGTGATTGTTTACTTTAAATATTGTACGAATCTTTATGGCAATTTTTCCTTTTACAAAACTTTGTAAATGATATTTTTTTGGATTAAGAAGGATCAATACTTTTTTAATAAACTACTAATAATCTCGAGGCTAAAGGTCATGACCCTAAAGTATGGTGTGGGCTTGATCCCTAATTAGCGTGCCAATCATCCAAACATGTGGTTGAGAATACCTTGGATTTGATGTCAGCGGGGTGAGCTCTAATCAATAAGCGAAGGATCAAAGGTTACTATTTCATTGTTATTTTATGGGGCTTCGTAAAAGAAATTTTTTTATTGATGGAAATGTTGTCTGGACATGACACAACTACTTTTGCCCATGGTTATTATTTTGTGGATTTTTGGCCCCAATTCATTTGAATGATTGTAGAAGACTTGATTTGATAATATATCAATGTTTAGAAACTAGTGTGATTTGTGTTGAGAAACAAGTGTGATTTCTAAGTCTCATATTGCTTAAAAGATGGAGGTTCACACTTTATAAGTAAGAGGTCTCACAAACCTATCACCTTAATATTTTGGGTGAATATGTGGTGTCTCTCTCACTTGTTTGGGAAAGCCTTTGACCTTTAGATGAGTGTTTGATCCAATGTGTATGCTCCCTCTTCATGATGATCCATCAATGGTATCATAGCCCGATTCGAGTAAGGGACCGACTCCTTGTGTCAAAAGTCTTCCTGACATGGTGGTAAAGTGGCGTGTTCTGTTGAAGTTCCCATGACAAGATAATGGTGTCTCTCAATGACGGTACAAGCATGTGGATGGAAGAGCTTCCACTTGAGGGGGGACATAATGAATAAACCCACACTTGGGGGGAGATTATTGGGAAGTAAGTGTGAGTTGTGTTGAGAAATAAGTGTGAGTTATAAGTCCCACATTGCTTAGAAAAGTTGAAGTTGGAAACTTTATAAGTAAGAGGACTCATAAACCTATCACCTTAATATTTTGGGTGAATATGTGGTGTGTCTCACTTATTTGGGTGAATCTTTGACCTCTAGGTGAGTGTTTGATTCAATATGTATTCCCCCTCCTCATGATGACTCATCAGTGAGGAGTCAATCTCATTGTTGGGAAACAAGTGTGAGTTGTGTCTAGAAACAAGTGTGAGTTATAAGTCCCACATTGCTTAGAAAAGTGGAGGTTAAACACTTTATAAGTAAGATGACTCATACGCCTATCGCCTTAAGGTTTTGGGTGAATATGTAGTGTCTCTATCACTTGTTTGAATGAGTCTTTGACCATTAGGTAGATGTTTGATCCAAGTGTATGCTCCTTCCTCATGATGACCCATCAGTGGTATCAGATCCCGGTTCGAGTAAGGGACCGACTCCTTGTTTCAAAAGTCTTCTTGAGATGGTGGTCAGGCAGCATGTTTCGTTGAAATGCTCATGACAAGATAAGGGTGTCTCTCAACAGCGATACAAGTATGTGGATGAAAGAGCTTTCGCTTGATGGGAAACAAATGTGAATTGTATTGAGAAACAAGTGCGAGTTCTAAGTCCCACATACCTTGGAAAAGTGGAGGCTGAGCACTTTATAAGTAAGATGACACATACACCTATCATCTTAAGGTTTTTGATGATTATGTGGTGTCTCTCTCACTTGTTTGGGTGAGACTTTGATCTTTAGGTGAGTGTTTAACTCAATGTGTATGCTTCCTTCTCATGATGACCCATCAGTCAAATTCATTTTCTTCTTCTAATTTTTTAGACAAGGTGGATAAGAAAAACTCCTAAAATCTAGCACCTCTTGAGCAAGGACAAATAACATTGGGTTCGTGTGAATCTATAAGAAGGGATCTCACTATTATTGATAGATTTTTACCTTGAGGATTCATTCATTTAGGTGGAGGATGGAACTTTATCAAACTTAGAAATGAGCATCTCCTTGGAGAATCCAAAGATTTATCTCCAGTATGATGTTATTATTGTATTCTTGTACGATATGATCTTTAACGAAATGAGATTTTGGATCAATATGATTTTTATTCATCCATTTATATTTTCATCCACATCCTTGACAGTTGAGGCTTATGGAACATATCAGTCAATATACTTAGATCTTCTTTAAGAACCCCCGAAACCTCTTTGTAGGGTTTGCCAAGTCTTTATGTGACTTTGAGGAAAAATATACTACAATACATGGTAATTTTGTGGAAACCAATAGCCAAAAAGACGCCGGTGAAGGAGAAATGGGTTGTTGTAGAAGACGAGTTCCCATTGGTTGATAATGTTGGAAATACAATGGTCAAAAATATCCATAATTTACTATATTTTGGAAGAGAGACCACTTAATTAAGAAGATTATTGAGTTTATTTTTACTTAAAGAGAGTTTTCATCCCATGAGAGGTATGACATCTCTACTTTAAAATATTTTATGGAGAGCTTCACCCATTGTACCTACATGAACAAATTAAAAAACACTCTAATGGGTTTGGGGGGTCATCATCTAAAAAACCTCATTATATCAACATGAATGCTCTTGTCTAGTGTCACATTGATGTTGAGGTTGATTAACTCCTTGGTTAGTCATTTCCTGGTAGATAAAATTTGTTTGTTAAATAGATTTTTTGAGCTAATTCTTTCTTTTTTATGTTGGTGGGATGTCGAGATCACAATAATGTTTTAATAAAACTGTGAAAATAGAAGGGGGACAAAATCAAGTGAGCAAAAAGTATTTTTCTTCCAGCCCTAAACTATATACGCCCAAATATTTGAAGATAATGACGACTCCACTGCTAATTTAGTATTAGATTTAGAGAATAAGTTTGCCTTAGAAATTTTGGATGACCTTAACCCTAAGATAAGAATGGTTTTAAATGAAATTGATCTTAGAACTTCATCATTTCCGCATCATTAAGATTAGAGTCATATAATGAAATAACGTGTGTTGATGTGATAATGAATGACAAGGTGGTTAACTTCCATCCTTATTAGTCTAAGAAGAGTTTCCTCACTAATGAAACCGATATAAAGGTGTCGGGTTTGAAGTAAAGTGCATCTAAGATTGACAAATATTTGAGAGAAGTCGCCTTTTGCAACTAACATCCCTCTTGTGGTTTGAGTTATCTTGATGACCTAAATGGAGAATGACACATAATGTAAGTATTCGATTGAGGTCGAAGGACTTTCCATCGTTAAGGAGATGTGATACACCGCAATGCTTGCTTTTTATAATACAATCAATAACCTGCACAAGAAAGTTTGAGTTTTCATGGGCCTGGTCCTTAAGTTGGTTGCCAAGATAAAAATATGGAGGATTCAACAAAGGTGATGATATCCTTAATCGAAAAGATAAAAACATTAGAGAAAGCAATGAAAATACAAATATAGAAAATTTCCAGATAATAGAGATAGAGAAGCGCAATAGAAAAAAGAAATAAAAAACCTAAAAATTTTAGTAAAATTCATTCCAATCATAATGATATAACTCCGATAAATTCTTAAACCCTAAGATAAATATTTACTTTAACCTTTTAAAAATAATATCGAGAAGATGAGTTAGTTGAAATCTCTTATAAAAAAAATAAATCTCTTAAAATCCTTTTTCATTTTTTTCACTTAATCCATATTTTTTAAAACACACCTTTCCGTTCAAACTTTTAAACAAATCTTTATTAAACACAAGTACTTATTTTTACTCCTATAAAGACATTTGTAGTTTACACTATTCTAAAGAATATTTCAAAGAAGATGATGATATATATATATAGTTAATGAATTTTGGATAGTAAAGTAAAAGAGGGACGAATGAGATAAAATGAGAGAGAGTGGAATGTTGACACACAAAAGAGTGGGATTCTAGTTGAACGAAGCCGACGGGGAAAACATGGGTTAAGACACGTCAACGAGGAGCCGCTACAAACCCACAACCTAAAATTTCTCTACCCTCCCGACAACGACACATACACACTCATGAGTGACAGGTCACTACCCTTCCCTCCACTCACATTTATTTTCCATTCTCTCCTAACGAAACATTTATTTTAACACACAATAGGGACAAATCCCGTGCACTATAAATACCCTTTACTCTTCGCTCTTTTATCTCGTTTTCTTCTCTAACATTCCCCCCTCTCTCTCTCTCTATCTCTAAATCCCCTTCTCTCACTCACGCTCACCCCGTGTGAAAATATTACAGAGATTTAATCGTATCCAAAGTATCCCATATTCTATCTTTCTCTCTCTCTCTCTCTTTCTTTTTTGGAATATATATCTTAACACCAAAAGCAAAAGTTTTCATTTCTTTTGCTTCATTTCACCACTACAAAATCCCCAAACCTCTTCATTCCTTCACAATATCTCCTTCCCCACTAGATCCACTTTTTTTCTCGTCTCAACCTTCCATTTCTAAGCATCACCTTCCTCTAAATATTTCTACACACACCTCCCAACCCAAAATATTGCTATTTACACCCCTCTAAAATCCTCACTTTCAAGCTTAAGCTTATACCAACCTTTTTCCTCTTTCACTCCTTCATGCAAGCAAAAACTCTCCCCTCCTTCATTATTTCTCTTCACTCTCTCACTTCACTCAATTTACCTTAACACTCACAAAACCCTCAAACATAAACCTTAAACAAAAACCTCTGTTTTCCTTTTTTTCTCTCTCTCTACCATGTCTTTCCAAAAGCTGAAAATTGAAACACCAAGTTCAATTTTTGAGGATAACCCGTCAATCAAAACAAAGAGAAAGCCCAAAAGAAAGCTTCTTCGAATCATAATTACCGACCACGACGCCACTGATTCTGATTCCTCCGGCGATGAAGGTAGAGAGAGAAACAGCAACCAAAGAACAACACAAAGAAAACCAAAAAGAGAAGTCCTTGAAATTAACATGTACCATCCCGTATTCGATTCTTCTTTCTCATTTTCTTCTCCTTCGTCATCTTCTTCATCTCTTGCATGCTCGGAGAAAAACAACAAAAGGTACAATAGAACTAAGAAAACACCAACTTCCTCCGCCACGCGCCACCGCAACAAGTTCCGTGGAGTAAGACAACGGCCGTGGGGGAAGTGGGCCGCTGAGATCCGAGACCCTTCCCAACGGAAACGTCTCTGGCTCGGAACATTTAACTCTGCCGAAGAAGCCGCCGCCGAATACGACAGAGTTGCTGTGATGCTGAGAGGCCCTGACGCCGTTACCAACTTTCCTATTTCACCGAAGAAGGTGGAACTGGAAAATGAAGCACCACCGCCGCCGAATGGCGGAATTGACGGCGGAGCTGGTTACTCCGACGCTCTGGCTTCGCCGACGTCTGTTTTAACTTACGACTGTGACTCAACGCCGTTCGACAGTCTCCGTTACGGAGACGTGGACGCTTTTGGGTTCCACATTGACGCGCCGTTAAGTTTGCCGGAAGTTAACGGTACGCTGACGTGTCATCAAAAGTTAGAAAAAGAAGAGGCGTTTGAAGAGTTTGATCTTGACGAGTTTATGACGTGGCCGTACTAAAAATCACCGGGGCTTATTTGTCAATTAAGAAGAGAACAGGGACAGTTTGGTAATTATACGTTTTGGTACTGCTTGTGTAATCCCGAAAATGCCCTCGTTAGAGATTGTGGTTTTGTCCTGCTTGTTAGTGTGAAGTTAATTAATTTGTGATTAGTAAAAGCATGAGTGAATTTGTGATAAAGAAAAATCAGAGAAATTATTAGCGTAATTTCTGGTATTAGAGTTGATAAGTATATAATTCAATATATATAGTATATATATTAAGAAATTTTGGTGTTACATGAGAAATATTATTTTATTGTAAGAAAGTTATATATTAAGAAATTTGTCTTTATATTTCTAAACTCTGACTTCAATTATTGTATAGTGTAATACCCTAAAATTTTCCCTAAGATTAGTCGTTTCATCTTGCATCCCATTTCATTTTGCATTGCGTTTAAACTAATCACTAACGGATTGTGCAGTTGTTTGATTGTTGCAAGAAAATATAATGTGGCGTGCTCTTTTAGTTTACAAGGTTTCTAGTGCCACTTTATTTTGAAAGAATAAAATAGCACAATTGGCAAGAGACCATGTGTAAGGAGTTGTGGGCATTAGATTAGAGTTAACCCTAATTTGTTACCTATATAAACATAAGTTGTGTTTGATAAAAGGAGAGGAGACAAAAGAGAAAAACGGCGGCCGTTCTCACGACTTATCAAAAGAGGGGAGATTTTTGACAAAACTTTCAAAGCTTCATCACCGGCAGAATCACCAACAAATCGTAACTCGTAAGATTTCATCAATATCACATTTGGTTTCTGTTATTCTTTTTTTTTTACAGGAAAAAGAGAAGATTATGGCGGCGCAATGAAGAAGAAGAAGAAGTTGGGTCTTTGGAAAGACAAAGTCTGAAATGAAATGCCAAACCTACCTCTTTTCGTTTATGCCTCCGTTTTATTTTCTTGTCCTTTTCTATTTTTTATATCTTTTGTTTTTTTCTCTTATATCTTTTTTTCTTTTTCCATTTTTATTATCATTAATTGGTTTGAGTTTTTATAGATACTAACGTAAGGTTTTGTTAATTAAGTAACTAACGTAATGTTTTGCTAATTAAATAACTAACGTAATGTTTTGTTAATTAAGTAACTAACGTAATGTTTTTGCAAATATTTTTTTGTATTTCTAGAATAAGAGCATTTGGTAATATAAAAATAATTTCTTTTTAATAAAAACAATTACTTTTCAATAAAAACAATTTCTTTTCAATAAAAATCCAAAAAAAAACATTTGTTTCTCTAATTAAACTAAAAACACTCTTTTAAAATTTAAAACAGTTTTTTTTTAAAGTTAAACCAAAACAGTTTTTTTAAAATAAGATTAAAACATTTCTTAAATAAAAACTAAAATGTTTTTTTAAATTTTAAATTAAAAAACTAAATTTTTTTAAAAAAATAATTAAAACTAAAAAACATTTTCAAAATTAAAGCTAGATCTTTTTCAAAATCAACCCAAAACATTTTCAAAATCAAATTAATTTTATTTTTAAATTAAATTTTTTTAAAAGTATAATAATAATAATGTTAAATAAACGTCCAAATTCTTAATTTTTCTTTTTCACTATTTTATTATTTGCCATGAATTTCTGTCTAACCCTTTGCATTAATGTTCTCTGTTTCTCTCCTCAGATTATATTTAAATTATTTGTTCAATTTATTTTGTTCCATGGATGTAATTTACGCGAGGCCATGGTCGCGGTTTTAGTTTATCTTTATTTTTTTGGGATTTGTAATTTACGCGAGTGATCGTCGCGACGCTTTCTTTATTTTCCGCATTTTAATTTCTGCCATATAATATTTTGCCATGTTTGCATGTTTTACTGTTATATTTCCCTCCGAAGGAATTAGGATTAACAGTTTGACCGTCGAGTCAATAACCCTAGTTTCAACCATTTCAAAACCCTAATTAGCTTAGGTGTCCCGCCGTGGACGAAAATACCATTTACCCTAGCATTAGGTCAAAGAGTCGTCGTACTCTGTTTAGGGTTTCCCACCGTGGAATCCCTAATTTAACCCTAATTTCAATTCAACAACTTTAACATAGAAATTGGAGTTTCAAAGACTCCACGTAAGCGTTTCCTTAAGAAATGCTTACTCCCTATCGAAACCTTGACCACAGTCAAAAAGTTTCTAACCTCCCTTTCGAGGGGAACTACAATTACTCTGATTCCATTCCCGTCAGGATATGTAGGCACAAGATGCGACGTCTTGCCGAGTAAACTTAGGACTAACCCTTAGGTCTTTAGGTCACTTTATCCCTTAATTCAGTATATACAGATAATAATAAATAAAATAAAATAAAAAGCATACAATAAACAAAAGGTTCCTGTAGAGTACTACAGAAGTTTAGGGTGCTAGTACCTTCCCTAGACTTAACCAACCCCTTACCTAGGTCTCTCCCCGCATTGTGTTTACGATGCAAAAATAGGTTTTTCCTCTTTTGACCTTTTCCTTCGGATAAATCAAAGAGCGGTTGTGATTTAAGAATACGATTCAAATTAATTAATAGTTTGATATCATATTTCCACCGCAACAGAAAATGGCGACTTCACTGGGGATGCCATAACTTTTAAGGGTTATCCCTATTTTGTTTATTGTATGATATTTTTTATTTATCCTTTTGTATATATTATTATTGTGCCTTGCTTGGGGGGTACCCTATTATTGTGAGATAAGTCCTAACCCGGATTTGAGTGACCTTATTATAGGAAGGTGAGATATTCGACGAGGCTTGCCGGGAGTGAGTCCCGACCAAGTTGACTCGAGAATCACCGCTCAGTTGAGACCCTTTCGAAAATGGTTCGGTTGAACGAGTGTAGTCGTGAAAACTTTTACTATTTTCGATTGGTGTCTATGAAACTGGGGACCGTAGTACCTTAACACCACTTTGGCCTTATATAGGACGTAGTGCGGGAACTATGTGGGAGTAGTCCTACAATAGTTGCTACGCGATGCTACACTCAAAAGAGGTTCTCTTGAGAATATTATCGACCCCCGAGTTAGTTGGAAAGTTGATAATATCCGAAGGATGGACTAATGACTTTGGGCACTTCTTAGAACCCTGTTCTGCAGGTACAACTAACCTTAGTACATACCTTATTGGGATGGGTAGACCCTAACTCCTTACATATACCTTTAACCTAGGACTTTGTATATATGCATTGCATCCATAAGACATCACACTACATCACATGTCATGGAATTCAAATTTTATTTATGAATATTGCAGGATACCATCGAAAACAAAAAAAACTTTGAGATATTCTTTTAAAGGACTTAAGTTAGATGACCTAAGGAAGCTAGGAGCTTTGGTTCAAGATCAATAAAGGATCTAGAAACAAGTATGGAAGGCCGTTATTTTTGTTGAAACCTCAAGTAGACGAAGGTTTCCTTTCGACTTTGCTACAGTCCTAGGATCCATAGTATCTTTGCCTTGCATTCTCCGAGTATCAGCTCTTGCCTACCCTAGAAGAGTACTCTCAATTGGTGGGGTTACCTATTCTGAAGGAGTCTTCGTTCCCTTTCTTGAAGAAAGACCCTAAAGGACAAGACCGTTGCTAAAGCCATATGCTCGAAGTTATCCGACATCAAGGACACTAATCACCAACAATTGTGAAGACTTTTCCAATGTACCCTTGCTTGGTTTTGATGAAGGATTTATTTTCCTCTAACTCTCGATTTACCTTTTGAAGATAGGCTCATCCTCAAAAAGGCCTAGCCCGAAGAGCAGAGTAAGGGGCAGAACAGGAAGCTTCCTTAGAGTCATTATTAGCTTTTATTTAGCTATTATGCCAAGACTTTTCTAAGAATATTATTTGTAATCCGTTTTAAAATTAATAAATAAAGTTTTGTATTCTGCAATATTCGTAAATATTTGAATTCCATGAAATCATTTTGCATTTTAACATCATATTTTGCATTCCATGTGTCTCCCGGTTTCTCATACTCGGTTCTCTCGCCTGCCAGTTTCGTCACCCTGGATCCTCCGCATCAGTACAATACTATAGCCCAAGCTCGAAAAAGGATGGAAGAACAAGCTCAAGAGATCGACCGTTTCAGCCATGAACTCGAAGATCTTCGAGGAAGTGTGGGGCAAATTTTGGAGATGCTACAAGCTATTAATGTGAAGATGGATACTCAGTCTACTGTTGTCTCTGAAAGTACCAATACTGTTGTGGATCCTCAACCAGTTGTTACTGCCGAGAATATACCTCTTCAGAATCGTCAATCCAATTCAGTGAATCCTACTGTTGCTCAACCAGTTCGACGAGTTACTCCTCAGAAGTGCAAAACTCCGAGCGTTGACCACCATAAAGGACATACACGTCCGAGGAATCGCTCGATGGCTACTCATCAACCTTGGCAACCTTAGCAGAATTATGTTCAACGTTATCCATTTCAGTATGCTCCACAACCCTATGTAGCTACTGTTGCACTTCCTTTCAGTCAGCAATTTCCTACATATCAGCCCGGGCCACCGGCTCCGGTCTATCAGCATTCGGTTTATCAGCCTGCACAAGCTCCTGTCAACTGTCAACGGGTGCCCAACGCTCCCGTGTGCCAACCATCAGAGGAGATGATACCTCGTTAAAATAGGAGACCATACAAGCCTTGTCCTCCGATCCCAATGACGTTCACTGAGTTGTATCCTTTCTTAGTGCAACGAGGTCTGGTTGTTACCCGAACTTTGGGTCCACCTCCCAATCCGATACCTGTCAATTACAACGCTGCCGCTCGTTGTTTATTTCATGAGGGTGCGCCTGGTCACGATTTGGAAGGGTGTTACGCGCTTAAGAACATTGTCAGAGATTTGCTAGAAAAGAAGGTCCTGTCTTTTGATGATCCTCAGCCGAAAATCAAGACTCCTCTCAGAGCTCCCCAGGGGCCAGAATCAAGCTCTGCAAAGCCTGTTTTCAACAGATCTCAGCTAGTGACGCATACGGTGAATCAGCCAAAGCCGGT